TTACAATTCCAGAAACCCAACAAAAAACAGAATCTTAAAAGCTGTTACAGTAATGTCATTTATAATAGTGAAGACATTAGAATTTTGATTATGAGAGACTTCTCAACACAAACCTTAAAGATCAAAAGACCTTGGAGCAAAGGGTTTCAAACATACACACACACACACACCAAAAAAAAAAAAAAAACAACAATTTACCACTCAGTGTTATGTATCCTGTAAAGCTATCTTGCCAAAATGATGGTAAAACAAGCTATCATATTATAAAGAGCACCAAAAGAAATCCATCACCACTGAGAAAGCATTATCCAAAATGTTATCAAAGATATCCTAGGAAGAGACAGTTAAGCTAACAGCGACAAATGTCCAACAGAATGAACATCTGCTGAGGTGAAGAAAAAGAAAAGGAAGCGAACCAGCAACAGCAACAGCAACAGGAAAAGAGTGCAGTGACAAGACTGAATCCATGTCTCTCAGTAATAATTCTCAGTGTGAATGAATTCAGTTTTGCAATCAAAAGATACATATTGGCAGACTAGACCAAGAAGCAAAATTCTGTGTATAAACAAGAAACATATTTAATCCTAAAAGAAATTTCTGTACTAGAAACAAAGGATGGAAAACAATATTCCATAGAAGTGGAAACCCAAAACAATCAGAATGTATTCTTTTTTCAGAAAAAAATAGACTTAGAGCCAAAACTGACCAGCAGTTGCAAAGAGAAGGTCAAGGTCACTACACATTGGTTAAGGGAACATGTCAACAGGGAAAATAACAATTATAAAAATATGTATGCACTGAACGTGGAGCATCAAACTTCATAAAACAAGTACAAATGAAATAAAAGAGTGACGAATATAAACACAATCATGGAAGAGAACCTCAATACTCCACTGTTGCAGATAGGCAGATAAAGTAGACAAAAACGTCAACAAATATCAGAGCTGATCAAACTTGTGAATGGATGTCTACACTGTTCCAACCAACAACAGAATAAACGTTTTTTCTAAACTTACTTCAGAATAGACCACATACTAGCCAACAAAGAATGCTTAGTAAAAGTAAAAAAATCAAAATTATGCCACACATATTTCCAGATCATAGTATAGCAAAACTAGAACTCAGTGCCAAAGGAAACTACAGAAATTATGCAAGTGCATGAAAATTAAACAATACTGTCTTGAGTATCCAATATGTCATAGAAGACATCAAGAAAGAAATAAGACAATTTCTAGAAGTAAGTAGTAATCCCTGTACAGCATACCAATGTTTTGGGACACACTCAAAGTAAGAGAGAAGTTTATACTATGAAAGTCTACACAGCAAAGCAGAGCAAGCCTAAAGCAAGCAAACTAATGATGCAACTCAGGGAGCTAGGAACAAGAATAATCCAAAGTAAAAGCTAGTACCATAGAGGAAACTGTAATGTTCACAGCAGAAATAAATGAGAGACTAAAAACATAAACAAATCAAAGAACTGATACTTTGAAAGAATAAATAAGAAACCCCCGGAGACATTTAGTTTGTTTCTTGTATTTTACTACTATAAACATGCAATAACACACATGTACATAGCATATATGACATCATTTTGCATAATTTTTTGAGATAGCGTCTCACAATGGAGCACAGGCTAACCTTGAACTCACTTATATGCCCCAGGTTGGCCTTGAACTCATGGTGGTCTTCCTGACTCCGTTTCTATAGTGCTGGGATTACAGGCATATACCCCAGGCCATCACTTTTTGTATTTTGGAGTACACCTATCTATAGCAAAATTTCCTAAAAATACTGTTTCTGGTTCAAAGATACATACTTTTATCAACATGCTATATAATCATCATTTTTTCATTGCTGTCAATGTGGATCAGTTTTAATTGCAATCTTTTATCAATGAACTTTAATATCTTATTAAATATTTCATAAATACTAGTATAAAATGTTTTTCTTTTGGAAATGCTTAATAATTTATCTTTTAATACACTACTGTTTTAAAGCAACTTGATGTTTTTATAAAAATTATACATCAAGAACACAGGATTCCTATATAATCCCTATGTCATGTATGAGTCTATTATTAACATCCTGTATTAGTATGGTACATTTATTACAACTGATGATTATTGACACAATATTAATAAGTCCATGTTTTTCATTAAAGTTCACTATGTTGTACAGGTTTGCATGTTTTGGTTAATATATTGTCATGTATCAACCATAGTAGTATTATTCAAATAGGTGTACTGAAGCCAAAATGCCATATTTGATTTATTGATCCTTCCATAATCACTTAAAACTACAGATCATTTTACTGTCCCATACTTTTGCCTTCTCTAGAGACTCATTCAGTTGGAATCATAAAGTGTATAACTTGTACCTTCGTTATTTTTTAACAATTTGGTACTTCATATCTATTGTTTCATAATATTCCATTTTATGAATGTACACCACTTTGGTTATTCATTTACCTGGTGAACAAAATCTTTGTTGCTGCCATTATTTTATTCTATAGCCATGAATAAGTGTGCTATTAATATTCACATATAGATTTCTGTGTGTGCAGAAGTTTTCAAGTCATTGGATAAATACCTAAAATAATTCCTTTTTTTTAATACTTGATGGAAGAAAAGTAAAACAGAATTTCATAACAAGAGAATAACAAAAGTTAGTACGTTGCATATTGTCATCTTCTGAGTAGTTAGAGTACAAAGGCATAAAAAATTTCTCCAACTGACATTAGCAAGAACCTTCCTTTTCAATGAAATAAGTGACACTAAAATATAACTAACTTGTGTTATCCTCCCTTTTCCCTTCCTTTCTTTCCCCTTTCCCTATCCTAGTTTTTCCCCTTTTTAAACAATTTCTTCCCAAATCACAATATCTATTATATACTTTAGACATTGTTTACTCTATCAATTTCTCACACCAGGGAAACCATACAATATTTACACATGTGAGCCTGATTTATTTCACTTGTGAGTATGGTCTCAAATTATATCCATTTACCTGTAAAACTCTCGAGTTTATCCCTCTGCATAGCTAAGCAGTACTCTGATGTATAAAAATACTACTTTTTTTATACATTTTTTTTTGGTTGATGGGCATTTGGGTTGTTTTTGAGATTTAGCCTTTACAAACTGTACTGCTATAAACATAGGTGCACATATATTGCTGGGATACAATGTTTTTAAGTCTTCTAGGAAGATACCCAGAAGAGGAATAGTTGGGTCAAATGGTACCTCTAATTCTAGTTTTTTGAGGGATCTCCATACTGATTTCCACAGTAGTTACACCACTCTGTACTCAATGGATAAAGGTTCCTTTTCCCCACAGCCTCTGCAGTATTTGATACTGTTTGATTACTTGACGATAGCCATACTTTCTGGAGTGAGATGGAATCTCAGTGTTGTTTTAATTTACACCTCTTTAATGACCAAAGACATTGAACATTTTTTCATATGTTTATTTGTGATTTGCATTTCTTCATTTGCATTTCTCAAATATATATTTGAGAAATATATATTTACCTCAGATGGCCATTTTTGGATTGGGTCTTTGAGTTTTGGAGTTCTGATTTTTTGCAGTTCTTTGCCTGTTCTAGATAGAAGTCCTTTGTCTGAGGGAAGATGGCTATAACTTTTTCCCTTTATTTGGGTGGTCTTCTCACTTTGTTGGTGATTTCTTTTGCTATGCAAAAGCTTTTTAATAAGATGAAATCCCTGTTGTTGATTCTTTGAAGCATTTCCGGTACAATCTGGGTTTTGCTCATGATCTCTCTGCCTACACCTATGTCTTCTTTAAGATTTGTACTTACTTTCTCTTCCAGTAGATTTATTCTTTCTGATCTAATATTTAGATTTTTGGTCCATTTTGACTGTATTTTAGTGCATGGTGACAGACATGGGCCTAGTTTTTGTCTTCAGCATGTAGAAAGCCAGTTTTTTTTTTTCTTGATTATATAATAATTTTATGTGTTGCTTTGAAAACAAATTACGGGTTTTTGGTGTGACTGAAGTATTTCATATGTTGGCAAGCAGTGAATTAAAGTTTTTATTGCTCCACATACTTGGCAGCATTGGGTGGTATTTTGTTTCTTCTTTTTTTTTTCTTTTCTTTTCTTTCATTTATGTTTGTCATGAACTCAAGATATCTTTATGCGTCTGTGTTACAACATACAATTTATTCATCCAATTTACCTTTTGTCTTTGAACTTTGCTTGAAGTTTTGATATATAGTAATGAAATTATTTATCATTTTTCTATTATAATTATTTAGAATCTGAGTCAGACTTAGAAATATACTGTTTCATACATAATATATATTAATGCAATCATGACCAATTTAATATCTGAAGTTTATAGCTAATATAAGTGTAAATTTGCAATTAATTTTATTCACAATAAAATCTACCATAAAATTTATTTTTTCAGACTACGATCCACTTATTTTCATATTGCTTACAAAATATCCCTTCCTATAAGTAAAACAGAATACAAGAAAAAAAAATGGAAAGGTAGCTTTTGTAATTAGAGAGTGCATGAAGGATTAAGGAGAGTGTAGTGGAACAGGAAAAAAGAATTAAAAATTATATACTGTAGCGCCTGGGATTTAGCCCAGCAGCAAAAGTGTCTGCCTTGCAAGCGTGTGGTAGTGAGTTCAATCCCCAGTACCAAAAAATAAAAGGAATTATATACCGTATACAGGTAAAAATTGCTTATGATGAATGTAGTCACTATCTCTGACAAATATATACTAATAAAAATATGTTAAAAATAAATAAGTAAAAAAGGATAGAAGAATGTATAAATATTTTCCCTTTTCTTCACTGACATGACGAGGGTCTTATTGCTTATCTCTGTCTTCCTAGACAAGCCAAAACAATGGAAGGAAAAAGAAAAATCTATATGTATACACACACATATACTCAAATGATATGCTTTGGGAATTAACACAGTCAACTCAAAAAAATAAATGAATGAAATACATACAAGACAACTTACCCTAATAATATGGAATCATACATCCTACAGGCCCCTCGTGTTCCGCAGCTAGTGGTGGACCATTTTAAACATGTTGTATCAATAAGAGCCCCGTAGTATATTGGAGCTAGAATTCCTCCTACAACATGAGATAAGAAGCCATCAACCCATAGAAGATTTCAAATGAAACTGGCTGATATTCTACACTGATTCATTTTAGAGTAAGGAAAACCAAAAGAGTTTGAAAGAGTCATTATTTTGACCTAAAAGTCAAGCATATAGAGACCTTCAAATGATCAAATGTTTGGAAAAATTCTGGTTCCCTTCAAGAACTTCACATTGGGTGACAAACAAGGCTTTGTCATCTTCCCTACATTACCACACATGCAGCCATCTTCCTCAAAGAATCTTGGAATAAATTAAGTTCATGAACTGAGCTATCACGGTGTGATGCCACATATGTCTTTTATCCACCCTAAACCTCCAAGCACATATAAGGAGGAGGTACCATTGTATCTGTGCAAGCTATTTTTTCTAGGATTATCCATCAGTCAAAGTCTGATCAATTAAGATGATGACAGTAAAATATGGAAGATATATTGGCTCATGTATTCTTTCACAAGAAGACAAGAATGGGAACAATGAGAGTACAATAATAACTTTATGCCTAGTAGAGAAAGCCCAAGCACAACTGCTCCAAACCCAGGAGGTATTTCAACTCTACTTTAAGAAAATGAAAACTGTAAAGTTTACACTGGAACTTCCTCCTCAGAGCCTGGAAAGCCCAGATTCACAGTCTCTAGATCCTGTCATGCTGTCCTTCTTTGTACTTTCAACATGTCACTATCTCTTTCTTGGTGTCATTAGAGCCCACAATCCAATATTTTCTCTGCAATGATTTTATGCATTTTAAATAATTCCTGAAGTAGCCTATGCTCCAAACTAGGACTCGTGCTGCTAAATTTTGTTCCTGTTTGTGTTCTGGTCACACAAATGCATATACTTTCAGTGTCTTCTCTGTAGGTCAGTTCTGAATTTGACTACCTAATTTTGCAGAAGATAAGGCATTTCAGAATGATAATTTATTTATACCAAAGTGTTTACAATTCACTGTTACTTTAATAAACTGTGAAACTGACTTGGTTCTAAGCATCAGAGTAATTTCATAAAAAGGTTACTGAATGTACTAATAGAAATCTGTCTTTCAGATGGTAAAAGGGAAGTACTCATTATTTCACTTTGTTTTTTATATTTTGAGAATAATTTTTAGAATATATTGTCATGTTAGAATGACACTGGTTCATATATAATACTTACATTAATTGTATTTTATTTTAATCTGGCTCAATTATTGAAATTAAGAAATCTTTAAAAAAATTAGTGACGTAACTGAAGAAAAAGTATCTGTGGAAAGTGGTATAGAGTAAAAGGGGTAAGAACTTCACAGATTTTAAAAAACCACAACTATCCTTTTAAAGATGAATAATATAAACAAAAAAAAAATTCCCAGTCAGTGGCCCTGATGTGAAAAAGTTTAACGAGTTAAATATTTTAGATTTACAATAACCTAATGGCAACCATTACTGAAATTTTCAACATTGTAACTTATTTTCTAAATGGTTTTCAGTTTCATAAGCTATATAACCTGTCAAACTCCATGCATATATTTTACTTTAGCCAATTGTTTGTGAATTGCAAGTTTAATCCTTATGACATATTTTGTCATAGAAGCACTTGGGTTTCAATGAACCATGCATAAGAAACATCAAGCACATGTACAGTAGCAAAATACAGTTGTAGAAAAACAATGGCAAAATTATTTTTAAAAAATTCTGGGGCTGGGGCTGGGGATTTAGCTCAATGGCATAAATGCTTGCCTTGCAAGCATGTGGTGGAGAATTCGATCCCTGGTACCGGTAAAAAAAAAAAAGTGTAAAAAAATTCTGGGTCTGCAGCAGTAGCTACACAGCAAAACAATTTCCTAGCACATATGAGAACCTGCCTGTAGTCTAATGCTTCAGTAAAACAGTCTAAGCTTCTGTCCTTGGCTTCCAAAGATTACAGGGATTGGCTTCTCCTCCTCCTTCCCCTTCTGCCTTCAGTGACTGTCTCTGGCCCATGATGAAAGCCGAATCCCCAAATGAAAGATGAGTGTGTAATGTTTGTAAATCTTACAAAGGAGAATCAACAGTGGTTAGGTCAGAATTTGTTAAAAATAACATTAAGCATCTGAGAAGGAAAATTTCAAATGGCAAATAGGCACAGAGGATGAATTCCTAAATCTCTGACAAATGAGCTTAATTACATATTGAGAAAAAGGCCTTTTACCTCTAGAGCCTATGGCCCTACTCATTGTAAATAAACTTAACCATGTCCTGAGGTCTTCTTAACTGGCAATGTTCTCTTCATCCCAGATGCCTAATAATTCCAGGCCTGAGTTGTTATCCCTTTTTCATTTTGATCTTCTGGTAAAGGAGCCACCCAGCCTCACAACACTTAGGAGTAAGGAGCGTCACAGCTCCTCTCGAGTTTTTATTGTTTTGCACATTCTCAGCTGGTTTAAATTCTCAGGACTCCCAAGCAGCTTCACCTACATAGTGTCTCTATTTAGGAAGAAGGCTCTCCACTCTGCCTAGCTGGAAGAAATATCCCTAAGTAGAAAATCCATTGGGACAGCTTTATCTTTCTGTTATAGTATATAGTGCAATTATGATAATACTTTGGTCTTAACTGATTGATTTTAGAATTAGCAATCAATTCTCTTTAAGGTCACACAATTTTCCTGTCTCTTACTTATTATTCTACCATGAATATAGAAATGATTCTCATTTACACTTCTCTTAAACTTTCACATAATCATAAATTAATAACGTTCAGTTTTTCTGCTTTGACATAAATACTTATCCCCTGAACTTAATATACTCATACCTAGTCCTCGGATAGTCAATGAATGCAAGCCCAAGGCAAGTGACTTCAAATCAGGTTGAACATTTCTGAAATAAGACAAAAGCAAAGAAGCATTAAATGTCTTTAAAGAGCAAACTGAATTAAATATTAAAATGTTCCTGTCTCATTTTTCTTCATAATTGACTAAAAACCCTCAAGAGAGTGGCCCATGTTATAAACTTATTATTTTCAATGTTAAAAGGAATGCACTTCAGTAATATTTTTATGTTGTTTCATGTTGTAGGATTACAAGACAGTTTCACTAGCATTTTCCCATTTTCTTCTAATGAAAATCCCATAAGGATATGAGTGTAACAGGTTTGGGACATCATGCCAATTCATTTTATCTACAAATTCTATTTGTTTGCCCTTTTTAAAAAGAAAAAGAAAACCACAAAGACTCAAATCATTTTCCACAATCCTTACTGTCCCTGGTAAATCTGACTCTTGTTTACCTCCAGCTGCCTGAATTCCTGGAGTGGCTCCTCCCAGCTCCCTGAGCCTCCAAAAAGTATTCAGTATCCTGTTATAACTCAGTTTGTCCACGTGGGACATGGCGTGTGTTCGTGCACATGCACACACACACACACAAAAACACACACACACACACACACACACACACACAAACACAGGAAACTAAATCAAGCTTTATCACTTTTGGTCATAGCTGCATCCTAACCACATAGATCTGTTCCTGACCCCTGAAATGAATTGCATGAATAAATGTTCCCATTCCTGCATATCCCAGCACTGAAAAGTCATTAATAAACTCAAATGCATATTTTCATTCTATTCTCAATTTCACAAAAGTGTTCTTTTCAATCAGATGTTGAGAAGACTTTAGTAAATATTTTTTACAAGCAGTAATATTGACTTAACCATTTCTAAACAGAATAATAGATAGCTATCATCAGTAATAAAGCAGTATCTTCTAAAACTCTTGTAAGTTTAAAATAAGATTTATTGAGATTCAAATGAGTGTGACTGAGGTGACTTTCTATAAGTTAATGAAACCGTAAGTTGGAAATAAGAAAAGCTTCTCATTATGAGGAAGCATTTTGATGTGAAGAAAGTTCTATCTGTGAAATAATGTAAGTAATTTGGGAAGATTAGGAGTCAGAGTAGAATTTAAATTTCTGCAGTCTCAGATTATAGGCCTATGCTCATTTTATAACATGTAAGAGCGCTCATGTTTTGGGTTTTTGGTTTTACTTTTGTGGCTTTTTGTTTGTTTGTTTGTTTTGGTTTTTGGGATTTTTTGTTTGTTTGTTTTTGTTTTGGCACCAAGGATTGAATTTAGGACCTTGTGCTTGCTAGGCAGGCACTTACTCCATTGAGCTAAATCCCCAGCAGAGCTCTCATGTTTTTCTCTGGTTTGCAAATAGTAAAATTATAAGTACCTGTGTAGATTTTTAAAACACAAAGCAGGTCACCTTAGTTTTATACAATTCAGATCTACACCCAAGTCTTTGCATGTTTTCAGTGGAGCATTTTATTTCACTGCCGCCTTGCTGTGCTCCAACCAATGATTTTCGTTCTTGAAACACTGGAGTACTTTTCTGTGTGAGGATATGGGCATCTGGACCCTCTCTCCAAAGTCCCTCATTTGTTTGCTTGGGTTTTAACCTTTAGGTCAAATGTTAACTCTTCTAACAAATACTTTTTGAGTGTTCTCTCTTATAGTGCCACACACTTCAGATGAAGAAGTACAAGCAGGAAATAAACATGAAAAAAATGTTCAACATCATTGCTCATTCCAGGGATGCAAATTAAAGCAATGTTGAGATTCCATCTCATGCCAAAATGAATGGTTATTATAAGAAACCAACCAATAACAGATGCTAGCTGAGCTGTGTGCAGAAAGAAACCTTTCTCTATTGTTGGTGGGAATGTATACTGGTGGAATCACTGTGGAAATCAGTGTGGGCATTCATCAGAAAATTAGAGTTAGAGGTTCCATTCGACCCCACTATTTCCCTTCTTTATATCTTCCCAAAAGAATAAAAAATTTCATACTACAGGCATATATGCACACCCATGTTTATAGCAACACAGCTTGTGATAGATAAATCTTGAAAAACAACCCAACAGCCCATCCACTGATAAACGGATAAAAAAGATGTAGTTTTTTCATACAATGAAATACTACTCAGCAATAAAGTACAATAAATTACAGACAGTTATAGTTAAATGGATGGATCTTGAGATTATATTCTTGAGTGAAATAAATTGGATACACGTGTAAATATCACATCATCTCTCTAGTATAAGCAACTGACAGTGTAAATAATCAAAATTTGTAATAGATATTGTGAAATAAGAAGTTGTTTTTAAAGAAAAGCAAACCAGGGAAGGCTGAGCAGGAAAGGAAGGAAAAAAGAAAGACAAATGATAAAATAAGGGTACAATGGAAACAAGTTTTGTAAATAAAGAGGCATATAGGTGTTGAAGGGAGAGAATGGGAACGGGGAAAAGAAGAGGAATCAGGGTATTTCATGTACAAACACAGATTCCCTATGATGGATGTGATATTTTTGTGTCTGATAAATTGTATCAGAAAACTTAATTTTAAACAATTTGTTTCCTAGCTTATTTCATTTAATAGCAATAATTTTCCTGATCAAAGTTCCCTTCAATCCAGCTATTTCCCTCCTGGTTATTTTCCAAGAAAAATTGAAAAGTTCTTGTCACAGTGACACATGTGAACCCATGTTCATAGCAGCACAGTTTGTGATAGCTAAATCTTGGAAACAACCAAAATGCCCATCAACCACAGAGTGGATGAAAAAAATGTGGTATTTTTATACAATGAAATATTATTCAGCTATAAAAAGGATAATCTTGAGGCTTTTATAGGTAAACGGAGGAAACTTGAGAATATCCTCATTAGTGAAATAAACAAGACTCACATTACTAAATATCACATTGTCTCTCTAGTGTAAAAAATAATAATAACTGACAGAATAATGGGATCCAAAAAGTATAATAGATAATGTAAACGCAAAAGGGAAGGGAACTTCTCTAAAGGATTTAATGGTGTGTATAGTGTGTAAAATAGATGACCATATTACTAAATTCCTTTTTTTTCCCTTCTTTTATTGGTACCAGGAATCAAACTCACGACTGCCTGCTTGCAAGGCAGGCACTTATGCCGCTGAGCTAAACCTCCAGCCCCAAATTTTTATTAGATCATTGAACAGAAGAGTTTGCACTGTCAGTGTTTCAGTGTGTAGCCACATTTTATGCTTTGAATTTGTAACTTTAACAACTATTGTTAAGATGGCAATATGTAGGGAATCAACTAGTGATTTTATGATGTTTTTTCAATTCTGTATTCTACTTTTTTCTATTTTATTTTTTAAAATTTTTTTCTTTTAATACAAAAATATTTTTTCCTGATCAATATCAAGAACAATTTGTGCATGTATTTTCAAGCTTTTCGATCTCCTGCCAATATTTGCTATACTATTCAGTCTAACATTCCTGGTAACAGACACCTTATTCTTCATCAAGGATGATGTCTTTTTAAAATATTTAACTTATAAGGAAGGAAAAAATGAGTTTCATGTATTTTTTTATCTATACCAACATTATGAGAGAGCAGATCAAAAGCCATTCTCTGCGTGGATGCATGTCCTGGACTATTATTGACTGAAGTTTAAATTAGGTCCAGTGGATGAACACTTTCTTTCAATGAATTCAATATATTATTCTCCCTGACAAGATTATCAGGATGGAAGGCAACTCAAAGTAGCAAGTTCTTTAGAAGTCATAGAGATTCTCTGATGACTGGGGTAACTGTCATTTTGTATTTTAAGATGCTTGGAAAGAGGGCAATGTATTAAATCTAGATTCCATAATTGAATAATAAGAAACATAATGTTATCAATTTTGGCTTCCAAGTATCACTATACTAGGATGGAGTATTATTAACTAAAATGTGTAAAGACACAGAGTTAGGTCCCAAATATTTTATACATCATTTAAAACTTGTATATCATTAAATATGCTTATAGTCCAATATAAAATGAAAATGCTTTAAAAATCCATACCCACCTCACAAGGAGCAAGACGAGTGAAACGCTTCCCAGTGTTGCAAAAAAGGAAAACAGAACTTTCACACATATATAAATGAAGTACTTTTTATTACAACCATCATCTCTTGGACATTCACCCAAACGGGCTGAAAAATCTTTGCTGGGTAAACCCGATACTTCAATACAGCTACAATTATAATACACCTAAAAAACAAGTTTTGAAATATTATACAATAAATTTGTAAACTCCCACAGAACTGCAAATATATTTCATTATATTTAAACATCATCTATTTAAGCTAAAGTCTTTTCTTCAAAAAAAAAAAAGTTCTAAAAATACCTTGCTTAATAGCTGAAAGGCAAATAGTTTCCTGGATTCCACTTCAGACAAGACAATGTAATTCACTAAAAATATTGAATTCAATAAATAAATAAATAAAAGGGGATCAGGGAATATAGATCAGTGACACAGCACCTGCCTGGCAAGCACAAGGTCATGAATTCAATTCCTAGTACAAAACAAAACATTAAATTTGTTTCTAATTCCAAATTAAGAAAAAGTCAAAGAAATTGGTGTTTAGAACCATGTAGAATTTTTTCAATATTATAAATTCTTTTCAATACTTCTCTTTCACCCACTTTTACCTTCTATAATATACTTACACACTCTATTTAATAATCTCTACTAAATGTTAGAGAAATGCTCTGGGGAAGGATTACTCAGGGAAGGCATGAACATAATAATTTGAAAGGTGTCAAAATTTGCAAGTAGAACTGCCCATCAAAATGGGATGCTGCCCAGAGAAAGCTAAGCCTGGTAAGGTGCTGTGATTCTATTCCGGCAAGCAACTTAACACCCAAGAACACATCTACAAGTAATAAGTTAGATGATGTTATTATTAGATAAATTCAATACGAGAGAATTACCAGACTGAAAAAGCACAAAAAGGGGAAATTTAAGAACAACTCATTTTAGATATTTAATCAGGGAAGTAGTTTACATAAACAGGTGACATTAATAAATTCTATGTCAATTTGAGGTTAAACTAGTGTTTTAGAAAAGTTTGCCTTGAATCTATTAACGCTAAAGTCCAGTCACTGAATGGGAAAATGAGGAAGAATCCATGCTTATATGGTTTCACAAAGCTTTGCTTCCTTCCCTTTTTTTCCAACTCAGAATACTGTGGAGGAATCCTTTAATGAACAGGCATACTGTCCAATAAAACTATACTTCAGTACAAAGAACCTTAAATCCGAAGCGGCAGTCTATTTCCAAGAGTTTTTTAGAAGGACCTAGTAGTAACTCCAAAATATTCAGAAGATGTTACATCTGTGGTAGACAGAACTTGAGAATTCTAACAGCATGTGTACTCCAGGACAAAAAGAAAAACTGAATTAAATGACACTCTCAGTGAAAGCACACAACCTACAAATGTGAGTGGCAAGTTTTAAGAACACTCTTCATATTTGTGCAAGTTTACTAAAGCCTGGCCCACTTTCAGAGAATCTAGAATGACTTACTCTTCAAAGTTTACTATTCCTTCCCAAAGAAGACTTTTTAGATTCACATGCCAAGGAATGATGTAAAATGTTTGGAAATCAACCATGAGAGGGTGTGGAAGAGAACAATGCTCATAAGTAGCCATATTTCTAATGTAGGTAATAGGTTAGGGTCCAGGAAATAATTAACCAACCTTGGGAGATGTTGAGTAGACTAGTGGTATGGGGAACATCATACAGGGAGAACCCATAGTTCACATGGAAAGAAATGTTTTAAGTGAATTTTATGATGTATGTTGGCAGTGTATGAGGAGGATACTAAATTATCCTACAATTACCCTGGCTTTGAGGAAACCAGGATCAGAAGAGAAGAATTAGTCAATTAATTAAGCAGGAAACTCTGTTGCTTGTGTAATAAAACTATACTTCAGTACAAAGAACTTAAGATGGTGAGCCTAGAAATAAGATATCAGATTCATATTCACAATTATATAGATTGTTTTATATACACCTTTGTATAATTGCCTTAATGAAGCAGGTAGTGCTGATCATCAACTGACTTGAGAAATTCCCCTGGTTTCTGAAGAGAAAAGTAATTCAGCTCAATGGAAATCATATATTCCAGTGAAATGAAATGCTCAGGGAGTCTTTAAATACATTCACATTTCAAAAGGTCATATTCAAAAGCAGTGTTGTTAAATGAAACTTTGTATACACAGATTATCAGAATGACAGAAAATACTGGAATTATTTTCTCATTTTACTTGGGACATAAAGCGACATAAAATATTGGAATTATTTTCTCATTTTAATAGGGATATAAAATATGGGAAGATTTGATAAGTGATAAGTTTTAAATCATTTGATTAGAAGATATGATAAGTGTTAAACATAACCTATGTTTTTGCTTATGGACAGGAGTGAAGGTAACATTAATACTTACAGTAGACTTCTCAACACCACCTCTAGATTTGCATCCTGCCAGACAAGGTGACAGGTAAGTTATTCCATTGCTCCCACAGACTGGTTCCCATTGATTTTCATCACAATTGCAATCTGAGTTGCAGTAAGACAGTGGTACACTTGCTTTAGAACTCACTTGATTAAGTCTGAAAGTATATAACAGAAGAATATAAAAATAGAGAAGAGGAAGAAGCAGAGGAATAGATGAGAGAGAAGAGAGAGTTTGAAGAGGAAAACACGATTTCTTTAGGTTGCAAGCAATAAAGAACTATATGAAGTTTGGGCAGTGTGCTCCTTAAATCACTGCATCTGCAATTCAAAGTTCTAGTATTCCACGTTATGATTTATTAAAGCAGGGGCAGGGGAGAGGAATAATTAAAGGCTGCCAGGAATAAGAACAAGGAGCTAAACCAGGGTTGGTGTGCACTCCTCCGAGAATAGAATGATGTTTAACAAAGGACATGTGAGGAGATTGAGAAGGTAGAATTGATACCTTAGAGAGTTTCGAATGGGAAATTCAGAGCTTAATAATGAATAGAATTAATGTACATGGTTACTAAACTGTGACCCAAGGATCTTTGTTTGAATGTTAACTTTTGAACCTTAAGTCATTAGCTGCATTCAGTAGATGTCTTTTTGTATGAGAGTCTGGCTTTCGATCTCAGGATGGCTGAAATACTAAGAATACTTGATACTATTTAACAGTAGTGAATAGTCAAAGGTTCTCTAAGTCTAATACAAATTTTATTTAGAATATTTAGAAATTATATTTACCACAAAATTGTTTCAAAAAATAGTATTGCTTTCAGAAAACAAGAGTTGAGTATTATGTCTGGAATAATTATCACATAAAGGTAATTGTTAAGCATGAATATGGAGTTTACGCAAATTTTATTCAATCATTACTAGAGAATATCATTTATATTACAACCATGATCCACCCAAGATTAAGAGTTAATACTAAGAGTTTTGAGGTCAGTGTATAAGATTAAAACTATTGGAGTCAAAAACTCCAAGTTTGAGAGAGATTCACTCACATTACATGAAGACATTATTAGATATACAATCTATGATCTATGTGTCTTTGCAAGACTTACTTTCCACATCTATAAAAAGGGGATAAAAGTACCCTTCAATTCAAGCACCTCCATAAATGACAAGTGTCTCCAAAGTGTAAATATAAACCAATGTTTTGGGTTTCAAGAAATGTAAATTTTGTGAATTTTTATATAGAAATTATCTTAGCTAAAAGAAAGTTTAGATAAAATTGTCTTCTGCCCTAATTTCCTAGTCTTTTCATTGGGTGGTTAACACATTGTGGACCAGATATAGTTTTGTATACAAACCCATCATAGCTCAGAGTTAAGCCGGCAACTGACTTGCTTTCACACATCAAAGGAAAAAGTAGTAAGTGGGACATGGTGCTAATGCATGCACTAAGTAATGCAAATTTGGCAATTCCAACCGTGGTTAATTTCAGTTTCTTAATGAGATATCCGCCTAGAAACATTCCAACTATCATAGTAGGTACATTTATGATTCCTAGAAATAAAAGAGAAAAATTATTGTAATTACAGCTTTTTTCATATGCCTTTACATATAAAGATAGTACCTATTAACACAATCACCCACACATATTTCTTCTTAAGCAGAAGGGTGGTGATCTAAAAGGAGAAGATAAACAGTGTAGGAGAGATAAAAACAATTGCTTCCTGCCAAAAATTAGGATTTGGTTTCTTTCATTGCAAAGGCAACGAACAGTTATTTGTGTCCGAACAGATGAATTCTGTGAGGTACTTTCTGGTCCTGGAAAACCATACCAAAAATACAAAAACTTTCTCCTTATGAGACTTGTTCTTAATACCTAAAATCCTTTATATTTCAAAATGAACAGTCTTAAAATTCAAGAACTCACTCTCATTTTCCCGGTACTTTAGAACTGAATATTTGAGTTATTGTCTACTTCATACTCATAAATACAAATGAAAAAATAGATCTACATACTGTATTTAAAATGTTTGATTCATCTTACAACTTGTTAATATATTTACCTGTCAAGTTAGTAAAGAAGAATAGTCCTCTAAAGAAAATTCTTCCTTGGTTACAGAAAGTCAGAACTCAACTTTGACAGTTAAACTTCATGTTAATTTCAACCAGAAGATCACAGAATCCTGATGCAGTACTTTAGGAAAATCATTTTCAACTGATTCTGTTTTTACATACTTGTAATTTAGTTACATGTCCCTTGATAAACATTTAATTTATCAAATCAATCGTTTATATATCGTGTTTTCACAGTAAGGGAGTTGTGGAAACAATGACAGAAAAAGTTTTCCCTACATGTCATTATAAATAGATATAGTAGTATAAAATTCTAAAATATAATACATGCTTATAACCATGCATACTTTGATGGTGTATTTAAAAAGTTTCTCTTTGGAAAGCATCAATGCCCCATTTTAATTAAGTAGCTCAGTTCTGATTTCAAAGTCCATGAATTATAGAATAATACTAAGCATATTTTAAACAATTTGTTTTAGTGTCTCAGCACTAAATTATAAAATTTAGTCATATGAGTAAAATATTTAAGTGTTTCATTGAAAACGAAATTTTCCTTTAAAAATTCTCATGAATTATAACTTCCAAGGCAGAACCATGATTGGGAAATTCAATAAGGCTTGAGAGAATATATGAAAATTATTCACTGAAATATAAAATTGTATTCACAATAAATTGTCATTTAGAATTCAGCTACTCATTATACCTCATTTATTAAGGAAACAGGTCATAAACAGGTCTTACCTAAAAGCAAGTTAGCCTGAGATGCAGTCTGACCATACTGTTGCTCTACGTACTTAAAGATATAAGTCAGCCCACCAATGAAACTGCTGGAAGTTGTCAATGTCAAAATTACATATAAAACATATATGTGGTTGGTAAGAAGGCATGTCACAGACTTTAAAAAACCTTGAGATGATACAAATAAAGACACTATTATTATAAAGTATTTTAAATATTTGTTAACATAATAATCAGTAATATGACACAGGATATAAAATTGCATTAGTACATGATACTAAATTAGAGCACCTGAAATCCTACCACCAAATATTTTAACAGATTCTTTCCTATTTTGCTCAAAAATTGAATTCTACATATGCAATATTTTATAACATGTTTTGTGCTTATTTTATATAGTTAACTTTGGCATTCTACCATAAATTGCATTCATTTAGTATTTGTACATACAGCAAAGATTTGGTGTTCAGTCAGGTACTAAGCAAGATGCTAAGTGTCTGAGGAACAAGACAATCCATTGTGTGGTGAAACTTATAATTATCAGCACATAATTGTCATATTAATAATTATTAAATAGAAATTTAAATTATACACATAATTCAAAATTCACAGAAATAATAATGCCAAGGCTCAAAATTTATACAGTCTAATTTGATATAAGGTTTCTAATGTCTTGTAAAGTGGCACACAGCTTCTCTGTTCAAATAAATCTGACCGTATCAATGATCACCTGTCTTAAAATATAGGAAGATGAGCCAGGGCATAGCGAACTTTTGTCTCCAGGATATGACAGGGAAATGCTAAAGCAGTGTATGAACACAAACAGGTGTGTAACATAATCGTAAGTTCCAACAATGGCAAAAATTATCTGCTGAATCAGTGGTTACCAGTTCAACCAGCCATGCCAGGCATTAAAGATGGAAGGAACCACATAGACAGTCGGGAGATAGCATCAAAACTGACCAAGAAAACGTCAGATGTTTTTGGGAGATGGATAAGATAGGCATTGGGATCTTGCTTTTTATATCTTTAAAGATTTCATTAGATATGGTCAAAACCAACATTTTCATTTCATATCAAGTAAGAAACAGTTTTATCTGTATGAATAAAAAGGCATTAGACCAATGGCCAAAAAGAATAAAAAGAAAGAAGTAGTGATATTTATAGCAGGAAACATTTAAAATGATTGGGCCAAAATATTAAGTTTCTCTCCATAAGATTCCCCAGTCAGAAAGGCCCATCACTGATTTATGAGGCACTCTAAATGAGTTGAGACATTTCATTAAGAGAAGTGAAAAACAGACATTCATCACACTGTTGAAATTTGAGATGGATGAGTACTTCCGCATAATCATGACTTGTGATGTATCTTTAATACATGGTCTTAAGCAATTTCTTGATTTTGGACAGTTCTCATTGCTTAATGTTGCTTTCCTAATAAACTCAAATCTTCTTCTTTTTCTTTTTAACCACTTGTTCTTAGTTTTCCTTGGGAATATATAGAATAAATATAGAATACATTAAATATATTTCCTTCTGACTATGTGGTCTTAGTTAATTCATCCCTTTCTAATAGGCATACAACTAACACCCTCTTTGCTTTTTAAGTCACTATCCTACAAAAATGTTTATAATATACCTAATATTTATAATTATCTTATTTTTTAAAAAATTTTATTTAAGGAGAAAAAGAATAAAAAACCAAAAAAGGGTACAAGATATACAGAATTTCAGAAAAAATAAACAGTAGGAAATCACTAGTTAATAAATTACATATTGTTATCTTAGAAATAGTTGTTCAAGTTATAAAATTAAAGCATATAAAGACTTTCAAACAGTGAGACTACAAACAGTTATGTTCAATGATCCCACAAAACTCAGTTATATGGTTATCTATCTTATACACTTAAATATACATGCAGTTATATCCTTTAGAGCACTTTCTTTCCCTTTCTTTTGTACAATGACAATTACACATTTTGGGTTTTGTTACTCCCACAGTTCTTATTACTTTTTTTTGAAGAGAGTAAAACCAAATGTGACATAACAGAACAGAGTCAGTCAAATCAAAGGATAGGCATAATACATAATGTAAAAACAAAATACAAGGTGATCAACAATGGTTACCATACTGCCTCTTGCTATCTTAAAAAGAATTGCCTATATCATCAGTTATAATACAATTGAACAAAACAGTAAAGAATGAAACCAAAACATTGGAGACATTACAGGACTTTAAAAGAAGATAATAGTCAAACCAGAATGGGCAGCATAATGAATCTTATTGTCTTCACAATTCTTGCCTATACTCTCGAACTTGGTAATATCAAGCAAGACAGAATGGTGGAAAATCAGTCAAAACAAGATGGTGAGGACTATGCAGGGTTTCAAATCAAGTTAATAGAGAATCAAAGTGGGTTACCATCATATATAGTGCTATGTTTTATTTATTTTTCCCTTAATTAAAAAGATAAAAATAAAAAGTAAATAATTAAAAAAAGAGATTGAGATAAAAGACGGCATAACAACAAAATAGCACAGGTCAAAACATAACCATTTAAGCAAAATAGTGTTTCACCACAAGATATCCTGACATAAAAATAGTTACCATAGTATCTCTTTCCTTCTTTGAGTATAACTTCTTATACTGTAGCACCAAACATATCAAGACAATGTAAAACCATTCAAGAGAATGACAGTATTACAGGTATTTAGAACCAACTATCAGAAAATGAACAATGTTTTCTGTATAATCTCCTTGGCTATAAAAGTTTTTGTTTATATTATCACATATAATAAAATCCAATAAGATACAACCTGTTAAGACCGATGGAGACAGAAGAATAAAAGCTTGATGGGACTTCAAAACAAGATGATACTAAATCAGCACTAGCTATTATGATGTCTTGTTTTCTCCAAAATAGCTGTTCCTACCATCCAACCTTCTCTGCCTCATTTCTGCTGAGCTCTTTTTCTGTCGTTAGTTGTCAGTTTGTCTTCTTCATTTTGCTTTCTGCTCCATTCATTGTGGCCTATCTGCCACTGTTTCTGGAATATTGGTATTTTCCTTTTTTAGAATATCCTGCAGTAATCTCTGTAGAGTTGAATTGGTGGTTGCAAATTCCCCTAGCTCCTATTTATCCTAGAAGCATCTTGTTTTTCCATCAATTTCTAGGGACAGTTGTGCAGGATATATCATTTTTGGCTGCAGGTTATTATCTTTCAAAGCTTGAATTATTACCCCCCATGTTCTTCGTGATTTGATGGTTTGTGCCGAGAAGTCTGCTGTAATTCTGATGGGTGTTCCCTTGTAAGTGATCTGTTTCTTTTCTCTGATGGCTTTTAGTATTCTGTTCTTATATTGGATTTCTGGAATTTTGATTATTATATGCCTGGGTGTATTTCTGTTTGGGTTGTAGGTGGCTGGGGTCCTGTATGCCTCATACATCTGAGTATTTTTACCTTTTGCTAAATTAGGGAAATTCTCCTGGACTATTTCTGTGAATAGCTTTTGTAGTCCATTTGTTTGTGTCCCTAATTCTTCTTTTACATTCATAATTCTTAAATTATAGATCCTCTTATCATCTTCTAGCCTTTGTATTATTGCTGTTTGTTTTCTTGTTATTTTTAAGAAGTTTTTCATTTCATGCTCCCACATTACAAATCTGCCCTCCAGTTCAGATAATCTATCCTTAGTTTCTTTCAAGCTGTTGTGCCAGCTTTCAATAGAGTTTTTAGTTTCCTGGTAATCTCTGAACCTGCTTCACGTATTCTATGTTTTTTTTTTTTTTTTTTCTCCGTCAAACAGTTCTCCCCTTTTTTTCTGTTCTTCCATTCCACCATATGTTTTTTCTTGGGTGGTGCTTAGCATTTCTCTAACTATTCTACTTATATCTTGCTTTATTTCATTAAATACTTCACTTTTGAACTCGTCTATGAGGCTCCAGAGATATCGCTTTATGTCTATTGGTGTCATGTCTGATATTGCATGTTTTCTGTCCTTCTTTGCATTAACTTTCCTGGATCAGTGTTCTCAGGACTGGGGACTGAGGACCCTTTCTGTTTGCTCCCTCTTGCCATACTTTTTGTTCTTTCCATACAAGCATATATAGGGGGCCCAGTTTTTTTCTTTGTTGGTTACAGTTTGTTTGAATCCGCCGGCTAGGTGTTCCCACACACTGCAGTGTACTAGGGAGATACAGACCTGGGCAGCCTCTGCTGGGCCCACCCCTCCAGGTCAACCTACTGAAGGCTTCACTGCTAGGGTGCACCGCCAGGCACTGGGACCTGGTTTGGGCTAGCCTACTGGGTCTTAAGACAGCAGCATCACCCAGGCCAAGCACTCCTCACCAATCCTGCCTGAGAGGGGAATATGCGACTAAAGTCACTGCAGCGTCCTGTTACGGCTAGTCTTCCTGGTTCCAGAATGTCCTTTGCTGGACCCTCCTACTCTATGGAAGGGTCCCCATTCCTCTTACTCACCTCAGGTCAATGCAAGGCTCCCCGCCTGACCCGCTCTCAACTCCATTTGCTGATTCCCGCTCTCAGAGCTTTTGCATGTCTCTCTCCCCGCTGTGCTGATTTGGACGCAGCAGCAGCAGCAGGGAATTCAAATCATGGTTTCCAGTGGCATGGGTTCCAGCTTCCACACTGAGATTTTATCTGTTCCTGTTATAGCACCGGGATTGCATTTCCAGTTGGATTCTCTCAGCTTAGTTCATTCATTGGTCGGCAGGGTATATCTCCCCTTGCTTAGGACTCCTCACACTGCACCATTCCTGGATTCTAAGCTGGGTATCTCAGAGAGCCTCCATAGCTGCTATTATCTATCTGCCATGTTCTCCCGGAAGTCCAATTATCTTATTTTTGCATCATCAGTTTCCTCTCTATTATTTTTTATACAGCCCTCAACCTAGTTCTTAAAGGTTTAGGTAATCCATTAATATGTGTGATTCGATGTGGCAGAGTAGAAACATCACATATATAAAAACCTCATGATATTCTATTATTTATATTCTATTATTTATGTGTATGTTCAAAAATAGCGAACACAGTAGTGTGCTGGTAAATATTCAACAAATGATGCTTGGTGAAGCAAGTCTTGCTTTGCAGTTCTTCTCAATTTCCACAGTAATAAATGGTGATAAATTCTCCTGAATGGCCAGTTTGAAGCTACTAATATAGTTGAACACTTGACAATTCTCTTTCGTGAGACAATACAAACTGTAATACCATTATTCTAGGGTTAAATCATGGGAGGAAGACTAAAGCCATAGAAGGGCAATTGAAAAACTGATGGGGGACAAATTGGGCCGTAATCAAGGATGTGTTATCCCATAAAATGTCAACTTGAAGTTTTCCCATGCTTTAGGCGGTGCATGTTTTGGTGTTTAGCATTTCATCCATTTTCCCAATCACAGATCTGCTGTTATCACCTCATTATTTTAAATATTTTTCTCTGGCTGCTGAGGATCATTGCCTTTCAGTGATAGTCCTCTGGTGCACTAACAAAGAGTGAAGACTCCTGATTCACATTTATGACTGAAGTATGTTAACTACCACTGTGCTTTTACTTTAGTTTTAAACTTCATGGAAAGAATGATTTCCCCAGGAAAATTAGCAAGAAAAATTAATCTCAACTAACTACTAGAGTTTGAGAAAACTCTCCTGACTTTCTTCTGGCTTCATATCTATCCCTGAGAGTAGTTAAGTTTAACCTGACCTCACAGTCATTAAGAAAATTTATTGCAATTGTCACTATATATGTACCACTCAGCATAAATCAAATTCTTGGAAAGAAAAATAAATACCTGGAAAGCAGAGGCAATCTTATGTCACTAGGGCGTAACAGGGTATATGGTCTCATCAGTTCAATAAGTGAAATAATGAGACATTGCAACTCATTTAACTCTTATTAATGTCCTACATTGTATAATTTTGAAAGTGGTGTGTGTTCTGGTTTTTGTGGAATAGGTATTTTAGTCTTTGGGTGTTTTCTCTAGGTCAAAATCTGCAAACCTATTTCTACTGAGTTTGTTGGATATTCAGATAATATACGCTAATTTTAATAGGAACTTCAGAAAAATAATTAGCTAACTTTAGCAGGCAGAAAGTCAATTCCAAATTATCTGGATGTGTTATTATTTTGAAATACTCATTATTCCCTCTCATCAGTGTCAACATTTCCATGTAAACTGTAATGCAAAATACTTACCAGTCACAGTAATATCTTCACCATGATTGGTCAAATTAGCTGTTTGATTTTTTTCTTCCTCTGTTTTGAGTCCCTGAAAAGATGCTGAAACTTTCCTTCTTGGTTTCTGTGGTTCATTTGGATTTCGAGGTAGGAAAAAGAATGGTATGGAAGAAATAATGGAGAGCAGTCCAGACATAAGGAAACCAAGCCACCAAGCACCAACCCAACGGGAGTCCTGGGGAGTTATTCTGATGCTGCCTAGAATAAATAATTAAAAGAAAACAGTCAAAAATCATTCTTAATAATGTAAGTGATGGGGAATAGTGACAATGATTGATTTTTCTCTCTAGGAAGACAAAATAAAACTATACTGCCTGTATAGTAAGGTGTTATTTTCTTCTTTTCATATTTTATCATCTAATTTTTCTTTTTTTTTTACTGGAGATCAAACATAACTCTGTGCTTGCCAGACAGGCACTTAGGCTGCTGGGATAAAACCCCAGCCCACCTGAAAGTGACTTTAAAACCATGGAAAGTGTAATAATTCTCATCATCATCTGAAAACACCTATCAATCTCAGTGTCACTTAGTTCATTAAAAAGGAAAGGTGGTGCTAATAGCAACTGGAGAAATTTTTATGACCATACCTTTCATCCAGAGCAACTACTTTAAAGATAACATGTCATGAATTAACTCTTGTGGTACTATTACTCTGTCATAAAATTTTGTTTTACTTTTTTCCATAACACAAGAAAGATATCCATTAGAGTTAAATTAGGTAGAAACTGATTGTATTTCATAAATGACAGAAGCTAGATACATTATAGTTGAAAGTTAAATGACAGATGAGAAGAAAACCTTTTATTTATATATTTTCAAAGTGCTTGACTCAGCAGATAAAAGGAAAAAAAGAAAATCAGTCAAGAAGTTATTTGCAGATATATAAAAATCATATAACCAACCTAATTTATGTATATGTATATATATATATATTTCAAATATTTTCTACAAATCATTTGTAATACATATAATGTTTTATTTATTAAAATATAATCATGATCAATGTATGATAGATAGATAGATAGATAGATAGATAGATAGATAATTGATAAGAATGAGAAACATAAAAGTGTTTTCCTGAGGACAAAGAAAGGGTACAAATGGAGAGCTGAAGATACAGGATAGATAAAGGATGGATCATCAAAAGTGTTTTTGAAAGTTAATCTTGAAAGATGCAAAAACAGGGAGTCCAAGACCCAGATAGATCAGCTGAAGATGGGTACCCTTTTGCCCTGGGTTGGAAAAAAACTGATGAAAACAGATGTGCTGAAGATATATTTGTTAGAAAGTGGGCTTGAATTTGAGGCAGTTTCCACATCATGCCCACTATGTCTTGGATTCATGAAGAAAAGTGCTCTAACACAGAAGAAGGCCATGATGTCACTTATGTGAACATTGCTTCATTTATTTACTCCACAGCATGTTCTGAAAGTTCCCACAAACAAAGGCCTCTACCAGGACCAGACTAAGTGACCAAAAACCAAAGTGCACAGTGCAGCCCTCAAACCACTCCAGCTATCAGTCAGTCCTGCAGCCTCACATCAGCTTTAGCAAAGCAAACTCAGTTCAGCCTGTGATCTACCATCAACTAAATTTTGAAATTTACTTGACTGTATAGTCAGTTTCAGGGGGAAAACGTTTTAAAATTTTTTTGTTTGGATCAAGTACCCTAAAACAAGCTTGTTAATATTCCTCATTCTACACTTTATTGAACAGTATGGTACAATGGGAGCTGGATTTCTTTTTTATTATGAATGCATTTTTTTCAACCCGTAAATTTGAAAAACACTAAGCAAAGGAATAGTTGAAAGAGTGGATCCAGTTACATGGTAGAACTGTGATAGGTACTTCAGAAATTCTATCATGGTAGCCTATTCTGATTGTACTTACTCAGATCTACATATCCAACGTCCACATACATTTTAGCAAACAGAGATGCCGTTGTAAAGCCTAGGATTGGGCCAATCATTGCTATTGAATTCAAAGTACCTAAAATATTTAAAACAAATATATCAGATTTCAAGAATTCATCATTCTTATTTAACATATTTTACAAGTAATATTATATGTTTCTCTAAATCATTTCTTCAGGTTAAAAAATTTAACAGTTAAACTAGAATTATTATTTCAAAGGTAGGCCAGAGAGAATCCTCATTCAATTTAACATTTCTGTACATTACCTATATATACAGAGAATTGTTCTTTTTTAACAAAGTCATCAAGATAAGAAATTCCCAGGGGTGATATTGGAGTTTCCCCTACTCCACGAATCATGTTACCCATCAGGACATAGATCCACATGTATGACTCAGATTCCTTCTTACAACCTGTGAGACAAGAAAATATTTCACTTTAAAGAGTACTTTCAACATTCCTGTTATGAACTCAACTGCTTTAGATCACTAGTTACTTCTGATTTTATTTGTTCTTCCTAATTTTAAATGCTTCATATTCACTCAGTAGAGTCTGAAAATACAGAAAAGCACAAAGAACAAAAAGAAACAAGCAAAAAGCACAAAGAACAACACGAAAAGTGAAATCTTACTACACAGAAAAATGCATTACCAAAGTTTGTTAACTATTTTCTGCATGTTGGTACACATAAAGTATACATAATACACATACACACATATTACACTTAAACATCCAGTTAATAATAAAATCTGCTTTCACAGCTAACATTGTATTCTGACAAGCTCACCATGCTTCTTTCACTGATGTCTTCCATACAAGAATTCTAATGAGTGCATAGTACTGTGTTGAATAACAATTTCAATCATATATTTTAAATAGCAAAATATTATGAATTTTAAATTCTGTTCAACACAATTGATTTGTTAAGTGTAAATAAATTGTTGTGTACAATCTTGATTATATCCATGAAGCTAACCAGTGACAGCAGAATAATAACCAGTAATGGAATAAGTACATGAGAAGGAATATTTTTGCTCTTTACTGTGTTTGGACAATGAACTTCCAATAAGTTACAAATTTACAATGTCCCAACAATTCTAAAAATGTGAAATATTTTCCTTTTAATCTTTTTCTTTTGTTACTCTTAATCCTATCTAATAGATAGTAAACTCTCTAGTAATATAATTTATAGTTACAGTTTATAATTTGTGTTACAATAAAGCAAAAATATTCAAATGGTATACTACTATACATTTTTCACAAAAGGCAAGTTTCTGTACATATTTAGACCGTTTCTTGCTCCTTAATTTCAAATGCACGTTTTTACCAATTTCCTATTTAAATCTTACTTTTTGTCTACTTCTGAAAGCTCCTTATATTTAGTAAATAATAATATCTTGATGCTGTCTAAATGTAAAAGTTTAATGTTTCCTACTTTATATTTAATCAATATTTGCTAATAAATGCTACAATCATTTTATAAATAAAGTTTTAAATTTTAGGATACTTTTACAATTACTATTAATCCTTACCTTTTGCCACTATTTCAGATGTGTCAGTGAGTGATGAAGTTTCGTTAACCAAACAAGTTGATAATACATTTTCTGATGCATTACTATGGGTTTCTGTAGAATATCTATAACTATGAAAACATCAGGAGATTCAATTTTTCCTTATCTACAAAAAAATGTTTGTCCCAGAAAACCCAATGAATTTTCCTTTACTTGTACCTTTTCCTTTCAAAAATTACCAGACTCCTGTATACCTGTTATTCAACTTGTGTTTTAGCAGAAATAGTGGATGCCCCTGCAATGAGAGCACCCACTAAGAAAGCACCCACTAAGAAAGGGCAGAGTGAATCATTGCCTTGTTCTTATCCTAGAACTGTTTATATCCTGGACAAGCTACAGAATAACTTGTTAGGTCTTGTCTCTCTCAGTTCATTGCAATGATGGTCATAATCTAAACTTTATGAAAGTTTATGATTAAAAAAGAGCTTTAGAGTAGTGTTCTTTAATCTATAAAGCATGCCATTTCATTTACAAACTGATTGCTTTCATTGCTGGACACATACACTCTAATATTCAACTCTTCAAAACTTAGAAAAAATCTAATATTCTTAAAGTTGATAAGCAGAATTTAATAAGATTAGCAGAAATTGAGTGTGGCCAGGGACAAATGTTGGTATCCAAAAATGCTGAAGTTCCCTGTATCTCCAACAGCAGTCAAGCTGTATGCCGGCACTATGCATGACTTCAAAACTTGAAATAAACACATATGTACAGGGAATTTCATGCTCTAAAAATATATGTCATAAAATATGTAAGTTTAATACACAAGGCTCTGAATTGTCATAAGGCAAAAAAGGATGATCAGTTTTGCTTGAAGATAGGTAGGAGGGTAGACGCAAACTTCCTGTGAGCATGATATGTGAGACTAATCTTAGTGATGGACAGAAATTTCATAGATAAATGAAGGAAGGAAAGCATTCAAGGCTTTAACATTAGTACATGCAAAAGTACAATATGATTTTGTATCTGCAGCCTTCAAATGTGGTCACCAATTATGCAGGGCAGCGAAGATGAAACTAGATCTATAAATTAGTAGTAATATCACAAAGACAAGTGTTTTTATAAAAGTCAAATGCAGAAATACTGAAGTTAATATTAGGTATTCATGTTAGCAGTGGGATGGATTGTTGAACTTAACAATGAGTAAGCACTTATCACTGGCAGAAATTCTCAATATCCATCATTGTCTCCTTCAACAAGAATTCAAGTTGATTTTCAGGTTCAGTAAGAACATGACAGACAAAAAAGTCTTTTTTTGCCTCTGTGAAAAGGAAGCTAACCTGTGGCCATTGTGAAGTTGGTACAGCAGTTATGTTTCTGAAATATTTCTTAACCCTTATGCCCTGTGCACTTTTTCTGCTTTGTGTTCCCATGCTAGCTCCTCTTGCCTGAGCTGACACTGACACAGGGCCATGAGGCCACAACCATGCATGACAGAGCAAGATGAAGAAAAGAGGCAGCAGCAGCCAACCTGGGACTGCTTTTCACATTAACTGAGAGGTGAAGACAAAGCTTCAATCCTATGGGAGCAGTTACTATGTTGTCTTTCTGATAAGAATCTGATTCTAGTTCAAGCTACACAGTGACCTTAAGAGGAATGGCCTCTTTGGAATGTTTGTGGGAAAACTCACACTTCAGGGGGTTGAGTGGTGAAGTTTTATTGAGTATAGTTTAAATCTTACATGCAAAGACATGAACTTCATTTCTTATATCAAAAGAGTCATAAAGAGTTCATTTCCTAGAAAACTATAGATCTTATTTAGTACTATGCCCATCTAAATCTATGAAAGCTATGATGAATAAAACAGTTGATTACCACATCCAAAATACACCCATTTCCATACATATTTTGAGGATTTCTCTCTAATTACAAAACTTCCAGTTTTAGAGAAATGCAGGCAAAGTTGTACTAGTAATACACCTGACAATGAGGGAGAACAGCACAGAGCTGTTAAACACTTACCGTCCCATGAAGAAATGAGGCAAAGCAGTCAGGATACTTCCAGCTCCCATAATGACACAGCCAATTCCAATTAGCTTTGGTCTGTGTAATTTGGATCCAAGGTAACTGACAAACACGATCACAAACAAATTTCCTAGAAAGAGAACAAAATATATAGGCATGCACCATCCCAACAAATAGTGACTGTGACAAGTAAAAATGAAGGCCAAGTGGGTGCAAACAGAGTACAAATATGATACCATTCCTCTGAGACTAGATAATTTATCTGAGGCTTAACTCAACCTACAATAAACCAATCACTGAAAAGTTGTATAGAGCTATGAATACTTAGAATAGATATTTTTAATAATAATATAAAAGTGAATTATAACTTAAATTATTAATGTAAATTTTAATAATAAAATAAGTTTTGGGATTTTTAAAAAATTGAGTAAGTTTTAATTCTAAAGGAAACATTTGAATCATTTGGCAATATTAGTGCAGCAGAATTTTAATGAAGAATCAGTACTAATTACATTGTATTTGAAAGGAGATAAAAGAGGAGAAAAATCTTCCTGACCAGAGAGAAACATATCCATTAATGCATTTAGTCATGCATTCCCAGTGTTTTTTACACTGTTGTTATGTATCCATCTGGAGTCCAGAGCCATAAATACAAAAATAGAATAAATTGTGGTATTTGCCCTTAAAAGAAACAAAATTTTTCCCCAGATAATTGAACACAAAAAGAAACAAGTAGTAAGGGTTAAACTTTTATAGGAGGGAAAATAAAAAGATGTCATTATCTGTAGATGTATAAAAACATGTTGCATCCATAAAATCAGGACTGGGAAACTAAAACTAAAATAATAATTGATGTGAGTTGAAAAAATTATAGATAACCTACAAATTAGTACTTAAAATGAGAAGACAGTAGACAGCAGCAAAGAAGATTGCTGGAGCCTAATAAAGATACATTTAGAAAGAAAAGAATTTTAATAGCTTAGAAAATTTATTATTAGGGGCTGGAGATTTAGCTCAGCGGCATAAGCGTCTGCCTTGTAAGCAGGCAGTCGTGAGTTCGATCCCCAGTACCGATAAAAAGGAAAAAGACAAAAAAAAAAAAAAAAAAAAAAATTTATTATTTATTTTACAGTTGTTTCAGGAGAAAATACAAAAGACAAAATAGAAGCAACATAAACATCTTATGCTAAACAAAGACTTAAGTATTTCATGAATCATTTTTCCATTTCAGAAAGCAATAAAGTAGAAAAAGACAATTATAGACATATGGGGGGGTAAAATTTCTGAGATTCAGGAATAGAAAAGAGATGCATATCAAGGTAGGAGAAGCATACAAGTAATGATTTTTCACATTCAACACCAACATTGAATGTTATAAAACCGCATGAATGCTTAAATGTTCTAATAAAATATGTTGAATTTTTAATTTCATGTCCAAATTATCACTTGAATGTGTTAGCAAAATAAACAAGTTTCCAGCAACCAAGAGTTTGGAAAATATGCCATGAATTCTTTTTTATAGGAAAATAGTATTAATTAAAAAAATCCCAGAACTAAAGACAAGATTGAAGCCATGTTACTCAAGAATCAGAAGTAAGCAAAGAAACCATAACACCATGCAAATTATTGCTTTTAAATAGTTTCAAATCTTGACAAAAATATTAAGAACAAATGGCTTGCTAGAAGAAGACATAAGATGAACTACATTTTAAAGCTAATGATATTCTCGATTTGAAATTTTCAATATTTTTACTAAATGTGGAATGTGGAAGAGTGAAGGGTACATAAGTGTACACTATCATCTGAATCACAAAGGTTCAGAATTAATAAGGAAAAGGTAAGTCTTTTGTCTTAGTTATTTTTTAAAAAATTCAGTTAAGCATGTTTTAAATAAAGCCTAAATAGCAATAGCAAACTTACAGGAAATATTTGCAATCTGTATGACAGACACATTGTAAGGGTTCCTCTAACCTCTGAATAATTAAAAAGTGAGAAGAAAGGAAAAAGGAGTAGAGAAAAATGAGCAGAGATAATGAGCTGTGGTGATTGGCACATGGGATAACAAACAAATGGGGAACATCAGCCCCAAATAGGAGTGGCCTTATCAACAAGATGGAGGTCTGGATGGAACAAAAAGAGAAAGTGGAAACTTGCTGGTACAAGTTCTCCGGCTCTTCCTTGTTCTGTTCTTAGCTAACACGAGGTGAGCATAGTTCCACTATAAGATTTCAGCCTTTTAACAAGCCTAAAAAGCAAGGCCGGGAAATAGCCCAGTGGCACAAATACCTACCTGGCAAGTGCAAGATGCTGAGTTCGATTCCCTGTACAAAACAAGAGAAAAGCCTAAAAGGAGTGGAACCAGTTGACCACAAACCGAAACCTCTGAAACCTTGAGCCTAAGTAGATCTTTCTTCTTCTAAGGTAGTTTTCTCAGGCATTTGGTCACAGTGAGAAATGTGACAAATAGAGACAAAAATACATAAAATAAGAGATAATAGTTAAAATAAAATTTATGAATACGGGAGAAGGTAGAAACAATATCTCAAACACTAACAGAGTAGGAGAAATATAATGTAGGTTGATGCAAAACTCTTCCCTCCTCCCTAAATCATAAGAATCGTGGTTCTCACTCAGTCTTCCTTATCACGTGAGTGTTCTGAAAGAGCCAGTGCAAAATTGCATAAGGTGGCCATGTGAAAGCAACAAGTTTGAGTTCAGAGATTATCAGCATCTCAAGTGCTGAGTAATGTTTGCTGTTCGGTGTTACTCTGTGCCTTGCAATGCTGAGCAGCATCTCTGGCCTCTATAGTTAGGTACCAGCTGCACGCACAACTTTGGTAGTTATGACAATCAAAAATATCTGCAGATATTGGCAGATTAACCTTGAGGAACACATTCACCTCAGTTGACAACCAGAGGTACAGAGCATAAATGAACAGTGTTTTACTCCTGCAAGCTTCATTATTAAAATAGAAATAAAAGTTACCAATTTCAAAGCCTCCATCAATTAAACCAGCAACAGAAGAAGATATTTCGAATCTCCTTTCTATTTGAGTGATGGAAGTTTTCATAGTAATTCCACCCAATGCCTTGCAGATATAGCTAAAGGACAGAGCTGCCAAGAATATCTAAGAAAAAGCAGAGGAGAAGATAATTATTAATTAAAAGACCACATTATATTTATATGGACATTTCAGAAGTTTTCTTTTTTATTTCAAAGCATTATTTATTTTAACATAAAATTCTACCAATGTTTCCCTTTTTTATGTTACGATTGATGTACAGATAAAGTGCCACTTTCTTTTTTTTCTGTTTCTAATTTTTGAAAAAATAAAATTTCATAACAAAACAAGAGAAAAACAGTAGTGAATATACCGCACATCATTATCGTCAAGACACCAAATAACAACAAAATGATTTTGGTTTACAAAGACAATACAAGCAGATATTAGCACAAAACTTTCTTTTTAGTAAACTAAGAGAAACTAGAAGTAAAAATAAAACTAAGCAGCATATATATTAAAATATTATTGAAACAGTGGAATAAGTAATTTGGAGAACCATCAGAACCTCTCCCCACTTCCTACTTACCTATCTTCATTTTACTCTTGCATATATTTCCTTTGAGTTTTTCATAAAAGAGAAGCCATGTGCTACTTCAACTTATGTGTCTGTCTTAACTCACTTAACATTACATTGTTGGATTGCATCCATTTACCTAGGAATTCTTCAAGTTTATCCTCCTTTATGGCAGGGGAGTACTGTGTCATATATAAATATCACATTTTCCTTACTCATTCATCGGTTGCTGGATATATGCTGTTTCCAAGACTTAGCTTTTATAAATTGTGCTGCCATAATACAGATATGCATACATCCCTGTATAATGATACAGGGATGATACCTAGAAAGGGAATAGCTGGGTGAAATGGAATTTGCTTTTCGTTTTTTTGAGGAATCTCCACACTGTTTTCTGCTTACAAATTTGGATTACTATGTTGATGCAGTTGAGTGTTGTTTTAATTAATGTCAATAACTGATTATTATAAAGCAATACAATATGCTAATACTGTGAGTTATAGTGTCTAGAGATAAGCATCTTCAGGGTGTTATTAAATGATGATGACCCAGTCTTTATGACATGGTTAGTTCCTCTATAACAAAAAATGCCATGTGAGAACACAGCACTAACACAGCCACTTGCACTTTGGGAGCAAGAATTCCTCTATCCACATTAATCTTACTGTACCTTGAGCATCTTAGCTTTATGTACTGCTTCAACTTCTGTGTTCTGACTTCTTCAATAGAAAAAGTTCTTTATACTCAAATACTTTTTAGTGAATCTCTCTCATCCTTGAAACTGTGGTGCAAAATTTTACTTTCACAATAAGATGTTCCTTGCCAATCAGTTTAAAATTTTACCACTTCTCACCCACATTTTTTTAACTGTGTTTTTTGTATATTGCCCTCACTAGAATGTAAGCTTTATCAAGGCAGATACTGTAGTCCATTCTGATCATTGTATCATCATCAAAGCTTAGAACAATGCCTGTTGCAAATACATAATGAAACCTAGTGTATGTTTTATGACTAGCCATGATTGAGAGTGAGGGATTAATGTCCTACAAAACTTCTACAGATTGCAGGATGTGTTCCTTCTTGCATAAGAAATGTCAACTTCTATACGTTGTCAATAAAGAAGACAAGTTTGAGAAGAGCTGTTAAATAGTGCAGCTTTTTAGAGATAACTAAGAATTTTTATATGAAAAACAATCATTTAAAAATTAAACATGAAAACTGAAGGCTTGTCAAAACTAGTTTTCATGAGTTAATGCTGGGAAGAACAAGACTGATAGTAGAAAGATCCCAATCCCAACGGGTTTGGGTAAGAAATTACAAAGACTTTTTTCAAGGAGAATCATTTCTGACATCTTATTGAAATATATACAAACTTCAAAATATAGAACAGTTAATGAAAAATGTTTAGGACAATAATTTCAAAAAAAATCATTGCATTAATACCAGAAATTTAAAGCAAACAAATGACAAAAAAAAAAAAAAAAAAAAAACAGAAAGCAAAGAGAATGACATTAGCAAGATGGTGTAAGAGGTCTTGTTACCCTAAAAGACAAAGAATGAGAAAATGAACAAATTCCCCTGTAAGAGTATCAGACACAAATTGCATGCAGGTTTCATGCACCCCAGGCTGGTACACATACAAACACAAGGAAACTTGAAAGGAAAATTCATGATTCTCTACACTCTCTCAACATAATACTTCATTTTGCACAGTACCACTGAAGGAAACATTGAAATTTCCTAAATTTAAGGCTTTTTCCAGGCTGCCCAAGAACCAGTCTCTGTCTTGTTTGTATCCGTACACTAATGGGAATAGGCACCAGGTTAGGGCTGGGGAAGGATTGACCAGAATGAAGGCTAATGTACATCATTTTACTGTACCAAACAACAACATGAGATAGAGTCTTAGAAACACAATTTGCTTTGCACTAAAGTGCCACACCACTGCAGATCAATTCAGGGAAGAGAGCTAGCTGTCTATAGGACAGCAAATCTCTTCAAACAGGCAGGCCATTCACAAACCCCCAAATGGCAGAAAGGAGTGCATACCCAAAAGAGCTCCAGAGAAATCTAGTGTCTTTCATGAAGATAAATGAAGAAAATTTCCCATATAGGAAACCAGATTTCAAGTCTTGAAGAGTTGATTCTTCAAATGCTGAAATATCAGCAAAAACAAAAATATACATATCATGACATACAAAGAATCTGGACACACTTAGAGAAACAGTTCTCTAAGCACTGGACCAAAAGAAACAAAAATAAACAAATTTTTGTTTATATGGAATTTCCAGAAAAAGAATTAAAAATTTCTTGTCACATATGTTTAATGAATGGAAAGAGAGCAAAAATAACTAACGAAAATTAGAAACATGATGTATAAACAAAATGAAAATATCCACAAATATATAGAAACCGTGACTGACCAAACAAATTACTAAAGACTCAATTGCATATTATATGGAATTATAAAGTACCTACATGAATCATGGAACACAATAAAGTAGAAAAACATGCACATTACCAGAATACCACTGAGAAGAAAGAAAGAACAGAAAATGTAAGTGAATAAACAATGACCCCAAATTTCCTAAGTTTTTGGAAGGAAACTGACATAGAAGCACTCCAGCTAGGCTAAACCTAAAGAAACCTGGTACATGATAATTTAATCAGATCATCAAAATTCAGAGCAAAAAGCCAAGGAATCTTAAAATCAAGAAGCTACTCAAAAGTAAAATAGAGCTATTATTATATCATGAACAGATTTTTGATATAAGACCACAAGGGGATGAGATAATAAACTCAAAATACTGAAAGAAAATAATTGCCAACCAAGTGCTCTATGCCCACCAAAGTGTTATTCAAAATGATGGAGAAATCAAGAGGTTCCTCATAATAGCACTATCCAAATCCTAACAACACCAATAAAACTAAAAATGCATAGATTACAAAAAAGAGAAACAAGACTTAAATATTTAAAATTAAAATAAAGAAGAGAATATAATGGGTGCCTCCAAAATGAAAGAATTATAAGAGACTACTGTGAAAATATGCCAACAAGTTGGAAAGCTAGAAGAAATGAATAAATTCCTGGAGAACTTACCAAAATGAATCATGGATCAACAAAATTTGAATGGATTTATAATTTCTTAGGGCATTAAAACAGTGATCAGAACCTCTTATTAAGAAAGAACCTCTTATTAAGAAAGAAAAAACTGTCTAGCCAGCACTTAAAGAAGAATTAAACCTCTAAAGAACTTAGTAAATCAGGCAGACAAATTAAATATCATTTGGTTTCTTTTTATATGAGAAACATTTTTATATGAGAAACTCAAAATATATCAAAGAGAGAAATAAAAGATAATCAGAAACAGGAAGATAAATCTTTTACAAGCAGAAAAATGACCACGAGACAGAGGGAGAAAACACAGCAGAGAAGAGGGACATAAAAAGAACAAAGACATATTTTGCATATGCAACAGCTTCCCACACTAAATGTAATCATTATGTAGTGCAAATATGTAATAATAAAAATAAAACAAAATAAATAAGGTAGAATTCAAAACACAGGGAAAGGTAAGGATAGGGAGAAAGGGAATTTCTAAACTCAACCTGTGTGGCTAGCAGTACTCTGATTCTTAAATGAGACAGAGATAGAAAAAGAAAACCACCAACAAATGCTCCTGATAAATACTGTTACACAGATACTTGACAAAATATTGGCAGATGCAATTCAGCAGAACACTAAAAGACTATTACCTCATCACTTTATAGGCTTTAAACTTGTGATGCAAGGGAGACACCATATATGAAAAGCGATCAAAATATTATAAAACCTTAACAAATTGAAGGGGAAAGTTGAGTATTTTAATATATAAGGAAAAACTATTGCAAAAAATTTTTCAGAAAAAAATAAGCAATGAATAAGAAGAAGCCAGATCAAAATAATTAAAATTTGCAGTCAACATCATATACAAAGATATAGATACCATGTCCTCTGTGATCAGGAATGAAATGATGCTCACTCTCACCATTAGTAGTCAATAAGGTGCTATATCCAAAGCAGTTAGATTATACAAATAGGGATCAATAAGTGTGGAAAGAATAAAATAAAGGCCTCATTAAGTTCAATCAAGAAATTAGTAGAAAATCTTACAAAGAGGTGGATTTTTCCTCTGAAGTTAGATTCCCTGGATAATTCTACATAAAGAAGATAAAATTGTTCTCAAAGAATTCCTTTAGGAGTGATAAAAGTGACAAAGGTAAAGAAGAATAAACCAGGTACAGAAAGGCCTCAGATACAGCAAATAGCATAAGAATTTACAAGAAAGGAACACTCTCTGCTATAACATTTAACTGGAGGAAGTGCTGAAAGTCAAAGCATTGAGAAAGCAGACAAACCAGGATAAACCCCACCTCCAACAGAATACAGGGGAGGAAATGAGAGGCTACCTAATCTAAAGGAAACTCTTATAAATCATAGTATGTATTTTTCACTGCAGGGTCACTGTATTACTTCACTAGCCACCCATATATCCCCTTCTTAATCACT